GAGTGGAGAGATGAATGCACTGTTTCTGTAACCTGGGGGCCATTTCGCCTAAAAGACTCCGGCTTAGAATTCAACCACTATCGCTTTTTTAGCACAAACTGTTTGTCACGTCTGGGGGAATTTCTGGTGTGTTGTCGTGTCTTGTTGATCACCTATTGTGTTCACCTGGGGTTCCCTTCCCTCATGTGTTTAAATAGTCCTCGTTTCACCTTGTCTGTTTTGTGTCTTTTGTGCTTTCTTCTTTTCCTTCCCTTCTTGTTCACGCCTCGTAAGAGTTTTTGATTTTGTACTTTGTCACAGTCTTGTTTTTGCCATTTGATTTTGCACTTTATTCACAGTCCTCTTTACTTGATTTGATACTTTGTTCATAGTTTTGTTAATCTTGCTTTGATACTTTGCTCATAGTTTTGTCTGCCTTGTTTGAACTTTGTCCGGCCATCCACTCCGTCTGAGTGCGTTTTTGTTCATTAAAACCCTTTTGAACCTCACCCCCCGCATCTGAATCCACCTTGAGAGCCACCCGCCTGACACTTTTAGAATAAAATGGATTATAGGAAGCCTTTATTGTCCAGAAAAGGAGGGGAATTCAGGTGCATCAGCAGCAAAAATGTACACAATGTCTATGTTTACTGAAGCATTGAGAATAGAAGATTATTTACAATTAGTGCAGACAAATAAATGTGCAATAACATAATAATAAAAATAAGTAAAGTGCCAGCATGTCTGTAACACTTCTTAACTTTGCTGGGAGCAGTGGGTATTTTAGTTTGTTTGCTTGGATTTTTGTCAGAAAAGGGAATTCCGTTCGAGCGAGTAGTGATTTATTGGAAACGGCTCAGTTTCTGAAAGCCGAGGCCGGGTTAGTCAGCCTACAGGTGTGCGTTTTGATGAGGTGGGGGCACTGCCAGGCGGCGCCTACAGCCGCGCGGCTTGTGGTCGAGAATCACTCACGCATTAACGGTTACCAGCCAGCACACGAAAGCCCGCAAAAGCCCTTGAAAAAATAAAAAAAATCAGGCAAATTCACAGCAAAGCCCATCCACACGAGCAGTTTTACCACTTCTGGGTTCATTTTCGAGCGTCTT